ATGTTCTCTTCTCACAGTAGCAGCTGAGATGAGAGATTCCCATAAAGGTCACTTTACCCACAGACCCTTTGTCACCCACGTGGGAGCATCTTTATATAGTGGCAACATTTCACTTCCTTGGTAACTCGTATCCACTGTTTCTTACACTGCAATTCTGTCTTTAAGTCAATCAACTCTAGGTCTAAGCTCAGATACATGGATATACTAACTTGTCACTCATCCAATTTGGAAAGCTCTGTCATCTGCTAACCAAGGGCACACTCAGCTGGAGCACCTCCATAGTCTTGTTCTGCAGTCACATCCTAAATAGCTACACGAGGCCACTGCTACATTTCCCAGGGATTGTTTTTTGGCCACGGGGGACTTCTATGCTTTTTGATCATTACAAAAAGATAATGGCCCCATCTTAAAATTGCTTATTTTGTACCAGACACTAAGCTAAATGCTTAAAATAGATGATCCCATTAACTCCTCAGGAGGTTACTGTTGCTACTGGACCAAACAGAACTCTAGACGAAGAAGGGCCCATACCCAGGGTGAGGATTCACGTCCAAGGCTGCACCACCCACAACTCCCTTATTCTGCCTCAACAAACGTGAGTCTCATGACAGAAGGAAATTTTCCCTCTTGGAACAAAAAAAGAAAAAGAAAAACTCTGACAAGTGCTTTTTTGTTTTTTCCCCCTCAAATTTTGTGCTTTTTTCTCATGGAGAGTATATGGCTCTCGGAGGTGGATTTATGATACCAGCCATGTTTTATAAAGCTGAAAATAAGGTTTAGACGCCGCTTCCTGCCCTTCCAGGCCCTTGCTGTCCTGCACGGACGCAGAGCCAGGCAGCTGCGTTTGGGTCTCTGCAGGGTCCTGTCACTGCACAGGCGGCCAGGCGTAGGCTCGGAGCACACTGGCACAGGCTGCAAGCAATTGGGCCCCAGAAGTCCTGGCTTTTCCTCTGAAAAACAGTCCTGGACACAGGAAGTCAGGACCCACTTTTCTGCATCCATTGTTTAAAAGATATCTGATCCTTTTGGTCTTAACTTAAAGATTTTTTCACCATATAAAATTTTCATGGAATGAACAGCCTTCAGCAAAATAAGTACAAGTAATTTACCTGATAAAAGAATGTCAGCGGCAAGTACAGAATGATTTGTGTGGTGACAAATTGTGCGTGTTCTTCCCGGGAAGAAAGGGACTGCTGTGCATGAGTGGATGGGGGCAGGGTCAAGGACAAGCACTTGTGTTTATTGTGAGGCTCCCAGAGCATCGCTCCGTTCTTGCAGAAGGTAGATGCAAATTACACCTAATAAAGTTATTATGAATAATTGCTACTGTTCAGCTCCTGCATATTCTATGAGTTTGGGTGAGAGAACAGGCAGTTATGAACACTCAACACCTACAAATTCTGAGTCCGGAGGCATCTGATACCACCCTGCCGATCTCCACCCAAGTCAGTGATTGTTTTCAGAGTAGTGACATCAGTTATGAGCTCAGAGGGACAGTTGACTCCGAGCTTGAGCTGGGAAGGATGAGACATGCAGCCTTCAGCATGTCTGCAAGGTCCTCAGAGCACACCTTACACACAAGTGTCTCGGGACAGACAGTGATGGGCGCTTTCACAGAATAATGGCTGGAAAGTGTAGGAGACCTTTGTGTTATGAAGGGGAAAATAAGTTGTCTAAAATGTAGTGGGTACAGTGGCTATAATGAACTAGACTAGAGGGCCATTTATTCTACAGTATTTTTTGAGTCCAACCTGTGTCCACACCACGGAGACCCTGGCAGTTCATCACTTGTGACCAACGCCAGGGGATAAGTAGGAAATGACAAAGGGAGGAGAGGGCCAGTAACAGCCTAGGAGATACTGCCAGGCAGGGAAGCCTTGTTCTAGGAAAGCTGCCAGGCTGCGAAGCCAGTGCGAGATGCCCTGCTGAAGGCCACTCTGAGAAGCTCTGTTACAATGTTGGTTGTTGAATGACTTTGAATTGTTACAATTTCAGTTGAGTGAGGTGGGGAGCTGTGTTACAATGTTGTTGAGTGACTTGGAATTGCTACAATGTCAGCTGTTGAGTGAGGTTGTGAGCTGTGTTACAGTGTCAGTTGCTGAATGACTTGGTGTTGTTACAGTTTCAGTTGTTGAGTGAGGAGGAGCTGTACTATGTCAGCTGCTGCAGGGAGTCTGAACAAGGGAATGAGTCAAGTTCATTTAGCAATTTGTAGGTCACTGTGTCTTTTGAGACTAGTGTCCATGGAATGGCCTGTATTCAAGTCACATGAAAAACATCTCAGTAGCATACTGACAACCAGAAAATGGGAGCAAGTACTTACGAGTATTATTTTCATGAGTAGCTCTTTAAATTATAAAAGTAATATATGAAGATATTTAGACAAGATGAGTTTAGAATCCAGAAGTTCAGGTTGAACATATTGCTTAAAACACATAGCCATAATGGACATATACATTATAAAAATAGAAAAATTTTAAAAAGGCATAGCCAGGCTTAAAAACAATAAAGTTACTGAACCAAAACACAGAGAAGTGAGAGTGACTCCAGTCTGCTGGCTTCTGGGTCTGAAAGCAGGGGGTGGGAGTGGGTTGGGCTGCCCTACTTGGGGTAGGATAAACCAACCATCCAAACCAACCAACCACCAACCACCAACACCCTGTTGCTGACAGCTGCCTAGGGCTGTAGGTACTACTGACAGTCCTTGGTTGGTTGAAGGGGGCAAGTGAGAAGTTTGGGGCCATTCCAAACAATCGTGTTAGGGGTGGCAGCTGTTGTGTGGCCAGCTGCCTCCTAAAACAAGTGGAGGTTGCTGGGGGCTCTTAAGAGTGAGTGTCCTGAAGAGATATGACTGCCTGGCAAGCAGTGTCTCAAAACAGACCACACTTCTTTCCAAGTCCCCATAGGACATTAGAAAAGTGACAGCCACTGGGGG